TGCCACGCGACCGTCAGTGGGTGCGTGAGTTCAGCGAGATCGTTGATTTCTCCGCCACTGTAGACCACCTATTGAACTCCGCCCGAACCAGGTAATTGAGGGGGTTTAGGTCAGGTTACCTGCTTAGATATTCCACCTTCTTCAGGTAGGCAAGAGTTTTCCCAACGCCCTTTGATTCCATGTGGTGTCACCCAATCCTGTACAGTACAAAGTACAAAGGGCATCCAGTACAAAGTTTCCAAGAAGGTACGGGCGACGACATGTGGAGAGGATATTCTTCTCGAGTTGCTCGATGTAACCGCCAGCGCTCACCTTTAGTCCGGGGCCCACGAAGAAAATATCGGTCTCTCCATTCCAGGTACGTCCGGTCCCCACCATCAACTGGCGCCTTGGCGACTGAGGTGAAGATGATGTCCGTAGCGACGTTGACGGAGCTGCTCGATGATGGAGGTCTTCCAGATCGAGAGTACTGCTCTCCAGGTAGCTATCCATGGGTGACTCCATACTAGAAGTTTCGCAGCTGTTTGGAGGTGACAATTCCGAAGGTCTTCTCCAGTCAGGTTGCGACTGGAGATGACTTCATATTTTGGTGTACATGAAGGTGATGGGCGAGAGCCAGCTCCTGCTTATCGAGGAACATCTTGGGTATCTTCCGCCCTGGTACTCGTATCCACGTCTTCTCTCTGGGCAAGACGGGGTTTATCTTGCCAAATGCCTTTAATTGTGGTGGATTTCGGGCGCGATGATGGACAAGGCATAGTCACCTGAATTGCATAATCAATGCTGGACCGTGCGTTTTGCTCGCGTGGCTTGAACAGTCCCTTCCTGTACAGCTGGTGGCACTCATACCGGAACCCATTTGGAAACTGCGCGAAATGTTAGCAAAATGTCAAAAATTAGCGAAAACACGCATATTACTACAAGACAACTCTCGTATAATATATAGACACAACATAAAATTGTTCCCCTGCCACGCGTTCTTGTCTTGTATTGATCGTCTTGACTACGCAATTTATTGGGAATCCTCAAACTTGGGTAATTAAACAAAGTCACTAAAACTACTACCACAATCGACCCGGCAATAATACATTAAATCAATAAAGTGAGAACATTGACATTAAATGATGATTGAATGGACACTGAAATGAGAAGATCAAATTGATAGCATGTGGGGAATGAAAACTGGATTAAGTGCGGGAAGGAGCCATGTCATCCTCTTTATAGAAGCGTTCACAGCTGGCTAGCTACAGCTACAGTCCCTTACACTTTTTTGCCCTGCTCAAGAAGAGCGCAGGTGTCGCAGTCAGGCGCTTACAGTTCGCTTTAGCGCGCCTGACTCATAGTCGCATAGTTTAAGTATCTGTTTTCCTATCGCTAACCGCGATACAACATTCACAAACTATTGATGCACCAGTTCAGGGCTGACGTGTTTACGACTAATAGAATTTCCGATTGTCAGAGAAATGCGACAGTGTTCACCTTACTGTGCGAATTCGGAGTGTACTTGTTTGTTTTTTTTTGGCGCTGGAACCAATACAATAGAACGTTTCCAACTTCTGACCTGCTGCACAGAACCACGTTTAGTTGGGACTGTAGTGAGTATACTTTTAGTCTGGAAATTGTATCTTCACCTTCCCGAACACTCCAATGAAATGTGCTGGAGCTCCACAAAAAGTGTGTTACTACGGCGAAGAGATCGTACGTAAACGTGGCTACCGCGATAAGACAAATTTCATTTACGCCACTTCTTTACCACGGGTATGTTCCATTTTCAAACGTTTATAAATCACCATTTCGTTACGACCAGGGCTAATGGGAAAGGCATAGCTTCCTCTGGTAATACATAATGAATATTCTGTTGCTGTTCCTGGGCAAGAAAACTGCCTCTCCTCCCTGTTCCCCTCCACCCCTGCACCTTTTCAATCCATCCTATTTCCCCTCCACAAGGTGAATAGTCTTCTGCTCTGCACTGCAACGGCACGCCCCTTCAGCGTAGACCACATCTTTTGAGAGCTTGCTTTTACGCGGTTTAGGTCCTTTTCCGAGCCGCTTCTAATCATAACGCCTGTTGCTGATGCTGAGCAACCATGAATGAGTATTCAAATCGAACTCTGGAAAGAAAATCTCCTACGCTCTCTGTTCCGCCATTCATTCAGGCAATGTGCCCTCTACCATCGTTTCTGCAAAAGTCCTTTTCCCTTTTCTCACTGTCTGAGACGAGCAGGCGAAGTGAGAGCAATATCACTCCCTAATTAGACCACAACGCCAAGACTGGACTCACATTCATCGAAGGAACATTCTACTTCCTTGCTCGCTTGTAAAAAAAATTACCAGTGGAGCATTCTGCATACTCTTATTGTCAGAGGTAATATGCCAAGCTGAGTGGATTTCATGCAATGCTCTGCCTGGACAGCCAGCGAAGTTGATGTCCGCTTACTCTCGTGTGGGGCCAACTATTATAGTCGATCCTAGATAGTAGATGGGTGGAAAATTTGGCTAGCCTGTTATTAATAGGATTCAATCCGTTGGTGTGACTAGTATTGACGCTGTTAAGCCATTATGCCGATACTAACAAGGGAATGGTTTGAAATTCCCATGGAACTTTGAATGGAGACCTAGGTACATCGATAGAGCTCGAATGCTGATTACGAATATGCAGATTAAAAGTGCTACGGGGACCTCCCAGACGAGATCTGGGTGGTCAAAGTTTGCGAGTTCTGGCTCGTAAGCGCTGCTGATCGATGCTAGGCAGTGCCACCGTGGCCTAGTGGTAACGGTCTCGCTTCAAAGGCAAATGCTTGTGGTTTGCATCCCGTTGGCGCGAAAGTTTTTGCTTCGTCTCCTATAAGAGCTTTTACTCTAATTTTCGAAATTCTTCCGAGTTTACGACCCAGCAGAGCAAGTAGATCAAGTATATGACGTACTCGATCGAGTATGGATTTGGTCACTATCTGCCTCTCTGAACTCATTACCCATCCGACAATTCGAAGTTTTGGCCAGAATCACAATTTGGCCAGAAACTCGTTTCTGGGGTATTTTGACCCCCTGAGCAAAATATCACATCCGCGACGCAAAAACCATCGGCTTCCCTCGTTCACTTGATGACCACAACAACATGAGAGCAAGCGCTTTCTCGTCAAACGGATGTGCTATTCGTGTTCAGGGGTCAAAGTAACCCCAGGAACCAGTTTCTGGCCGAAACTTCGAATGTCGGATGGGTAATGAGTTTCAGAGAGGCAGATAGTGACCAAATCCATACTCGATCGAATACTTCATACACGTGATCTACTTGATCTACTTGCTCTGCTAGATCGTAAACTCGGAAGCATTTCGAAATTAGAGTGCAAGCTCTTATAGTAGACGAAGCAAAACTTCCGCGCCAACGGGATGCAAACCCACAAGCATTTGCCTTTGGCGCACCACTGGGCCACGATGGCCTGCCCAGCTATCGATCAGCAGCGCTTACGAGCTAAAACCGAGTTTTCGCAAACTTTGACCGCCCAGAACTCGTCTGGGAGGTAGCACTTTTAATCTGCATATTCGTAATCAGCATTCGAGACTCTATCGATGTACCTAGGTCTCCATTCAAAGTTCGGAAAGTTGAAACCATTCCCTTGTAAGAGAGAATCGATTTTGTGCGAAAATTACTTTTCTTTACAGCAAATTATTTGCAGCTCTTCGGCGTGGAAGCTTACTTGAAATCGTTAAATAATGTTGCTAAAGAGAGGAACATAGACGTGCGTACGAGGCATAATTTAATCGAAGTCGACACTAAGAATAAAATCGCCAAATTCGAGTTACTTGACGAGGATAGCGTTCCAAACGGAGAGTTCTCCGAGATACCGGTAGGTCTGTTTACTATTCGTTAGATTTCAGAAGTCGCGACCTTATGTGGAAGATTCTCTTACAAAAATTCTCTTACATTTATATGGCTAATGGGCCTCGTAGCTGTTTTCAGCTCGTTAAATTAAGGGTGTACGACTGAGAGTTCATGTTCGTTCCTGACTTCCTAGCTCACGTTCACAGCGGACCAATTCATGCCATCTCGCGTGGCGAAAGGGCGTTGGTATGACGTGATAAAGTGAAGATGTAGAGAGGTTACAACTCTAGCATGTAGGGTGTGCCTATCTTTGCCACGATACGTTCTAAAAATTCTCCATAACATCTTTGCCACGATACGTTCTCCCTTTCCTGTAATCTATCGCCTGAATAGCGAAAGCAGAAGGAGTAAAGCACCATTTCGTTTTAGCACATTTTTAAGTTGTTTGTTCACTGGAAAGTTCTAATTATGGCCCTCCTTGGTACTCAGACTCCCTGGTGTAAAGTAAGCCACCTTCATGGTTCATATGGTGAGCACCACATCTTTCATCTTGCCATCGTCACCCGTGTGCATTAAAGCGCTGGGTTACTTCTCTTTCTGGATTCGTTTTGTTAACATGACTTGTCGCTTTCTCGTAACATGGTCGATGTGTTTTTTGAGTGATGTGCTCGCTTTTGTATTGAAGGCATTGAAGACATATTCCGAAATCACATGATTTATAG